GATTGGCTTTACTGGAAGATTAATGCCGACACTGTTTACGAGGTAATCTTCTTCAATTCCGGTGAAAAGGTGCTAAGCTTTCATCCGTCATATGACGAACACCTTTTTTATTCTCAACTTGTTTATTGGTTTATTATTCTTTTTTAGAGAGTATTCACGAAGGCAAAGACAAAACAAGGAAAAGGTCTCCTTATCTCTCCTTACTTATTCACTATTTAAAAGATATTATTTATTGACCTAATGCCATTTTTAATCAGACCTAAGGGATAATTATTCTCAGGTAATATTAGTTTAAGCAGATCCAGTCCATTATCACAATGTTCTCTATAGCCTAATCCTTTTCCCCTTAAACTCATAGATTTTAAAAGATCAACCGTTACTTTGTATCAATGCTTGGAGAAGAAATTAAGAATGTGCCAAGTCCATTTTCTGATGCTGGGAATCATGACAACTACTATGGCAGACGACTTTAGACTAGGTGCGTTCTACTAAATCTGCCTGACAACAAGACCAAGTTGCGACAACGAGGTCAACCCATTTCTATAAATCGAAAGGAGACTGCGACCATAACAGACGCCATAACGATTTGGTCTTCATATCTTTAAGTAATTTACTGTTCATGCACTCAAAAACACTTTACCCCAAGGTTTTCCGAGAGCTCCCTTGTTAACCTTACGATTCGGCCAAAATGATGGAAATCCTACCTGTTCAGACCTATCGTCGTGTGGAAGTGGTGGTATGGCTGATCAGCTTCGCTGACAAAAAGCGGGAAGAGAACCAGCAGATCATCAGTTAGATTTGCCTTGATCTGGTATTCGCAAACTTTGTCCTATTATCAGAAGAGATGTTGGGAAACGTCTTCTGTGCCTGGCAATTCACCAAATCCATTGTCCCATTGTGGAAATTGTCCTGACCACAAGACTGGATGCCTTGTTCGAGGTCACTCTGGCAACAAGAAAAGAGATCAAACCAACTCATTAAAGCCAAAGGAGACCGTGACCAACTTTAACTAAGGAAATTCAGGTCGGACCGACGGAAAAGCTGCGGATCAAGCCTGGGCTCAACTTGTATAGTAGACTTCTGTTGAGCCGATCGCCCTGATTGTGGCTGGCTCTGTGTTCATTCAACTTTGGCGAAGTAAAGGGACGAGTAGAGCGTAGTCTGACCCGTTGCGGAGAGACTACTTGGACAGCCGGCTGCCTTGTTAGGAGGCGCTTTTTGGAACAAGCCAATCCGGCCCAAAGACCAACTTCGAAATGATTTTCCCCTCGTTATATCAAGGACTAGGAGGTTGTATTACCCCAAGTTGAGGCCATTCTCTAATCTCCACCTGGTGGTTAGGGCGTTATGAGGGTACTGGAGGACACGAGAGATGGAAGAAGCTCGAACCAGAGTACCTCATCAAGTCGCTCATCGGGTGTAACTTTACTAGTCAATTGGCATTCGAGTGATTTAACCTTTGTTATCCAAACCTCCTGGCCGGACATGAAACGGACCAATGTAGTCGTTAGCCCACCTATGGCCTGCTCCTGAGAGTTGAAGTTCATACTTTTTCCATAAATGCAATTAGACCCAAGCACCTGTTATAAACTGGTTTTATGGGGCCTCTAAAATATGTATCAAACCCGCTTAATTTCCTATCTTCCACCCATCACAGATGGTAGCATCTCGAACCCTCAGCTTCTATCTGTGCTTATCATTCTCGCCCCAGCCCCCTTGTACAGATCTTTATTCTACCATGCCACTTGCAAAGTTCGGCCATCCAGAGGTGGGTGCCTTTTCATATTGCGTTCTCGTAGACTAAATAGAAGCATGGCGGCTTTGGATTTGCGAAAGCTGACAAGCCGAAACGAGCGGGCCAACCGTTTGTGCGTTAAAATACAAGACTGTCTTCTGTTGCACTAAGTTCTTCTATTGCTAGGCCCTGGATCTAAAATACCAGACGCCGATACCGTGTGGTCATCTGACAGACTTTACTGGAGAATTCCATCCCGAGTCCAGGGATTTTGACGAGTCTTGGCAGAATTGTTGCATATCCGAGCTTCTGGACTATACTTCCCAAACTCAGCTTCTGAGTTCGACCTTTAAACTCACCTCTCGCTGTCGAGGAAAAGTGTGCATTCACATGCCCTTCTGGATGGCATACTCGACCAGAACTGTCTCGCCATCCTCTTCCGTCAAATATCTTTGTAGGCGCCGTCTATTTTGTTGGATTTATCCTGTACACAAAATGTCTGGTGCCATTGTTGGGCCTAGTCGGCATTTTTACGTGTAACTGTCCCGTGGGCTAGCTCCTAGCATTCCGAATGCGCCATCTGCTCAGGTTCGAAATTTGGGGGCATCTACGTCCGTCTGCAGTCCTATTCATGCTTCTGTGTGAGTGCAT